CATGCGGTAACTAATTTGTAAAGGCTTTATCCTATGTACAAATCATAGATACAGCCATGAGAAAGCTGTACATCTGCTAAAACAATTCTATGCATTTTCCTCTTTACATAAAGAAATTTGATATTGAAGTAACGGTTGTGTCTCATCCGCGTTAATTCCTATTTGGTTAATAAATACTATCTATATTCGTGGTATTTTGCTACGTCAAAAGGATCAACAGATCTTTGCTCATCCATTGATAATTCAATCTTAACAAAACAGTTTCTCTGAACTAAACCTGGAAAACTAGTTTTCTTTCAATAAAAGAAGCAAGGAAATCGAGTTTTATTTGTTACAAAAGAACCAAAGTTTTCGTAACAACCAGAGCATTGAAGTACCCAAAAAATGAACATATGAAACCTTCATGTGGTTCAATGGTATAATGACTATTGATGAAATTTGAAGTTATTTAGGGCAGACAATTTCCGTCACTTCATCATTTTGAGCAATGGACTTGCAATGAACGGCGGTGGATGATGGAATGTGTTGTCTGCAGTAAAATTGTTTCACCAGGAAGGGTTTTTCAATTCACTCCTTGCTTGCATTTCTTCTGCAAATATTGCGTGGAACAATGGCGAAGCATACGTAAGGTTGATTCTTTTGAATTGTTTCTTCTTGTATAATTTACATGTTCAGATTTGTAAAGTTTCATGAAGTAAATATTTTAGACAGAGTCAAGTTCAAGAAACTCATGCACTCCTCAGAAAACTGTCTCATCTATGGTTGGTTTTAAAACCTGTCATTAAAGCTAACGCAGAGCAAACATTATTACCGTTGACGTTCACATTTCTATTTGTCTGCATTCTAATTTAAAAAAAAAAATATTTTCATCCAAAATTTTATTTCCTATCCGTTTGTTTCCTTAACAAATTTTGGACAAATTATATAAAACGATAAGAACTTGATCTTTCACCCTGTTTTCTATTCCTAACGCTTATCTGCAGTACGATAAGATTCTGAATTAAGTTGTATCATTCACATATGCTTGTAAATTTGTTATAAATGAATCAGATTTGTCTTGCATCGAATTGCTTCTCAATTTTTGACGAAAACTCCAATAGACGTCTGAATTGGAAATATTGCGAGAGCCAATTCTGCTCCCGGTTAGCATTCTCGATATCAATTCGATTCGTGGCAAAAATCAATCTGCCAGAAAACTTGCTTCCTATTGGATTTGTAATAATTCAGTTTTGACTTGAATTCATTGTTGTTATGAAAAGTGAAACAAAAATCCGTGCACCGCAATGAGTGATGTTTACTATTTCGTTTCAAACATTTTTGGAATATTATCTTTTAAATTATCACTTCTACTTGAACTATAATCAAAGTTCTCCTATCAGTGGTAATCAGTTTAAATTCATTATGAATGTTATGGTATTATGATATGGTATTATAAAACGAACCATGCTTGCCTCATTGTTTTCCACTCATTACCACTCCTAGGAAGATTCAAATTCTGGCCTTTTAACCGATGGATGAATCTCTTTACTAAACTTTATAACGCATACTGTTTTGATAAATACATTTTTGTCTTTTGTTATTCTTTAAATTGTTTGCAAATTAATTTTTTAAATTTTTAGAAAACTTTCGACGGTTTGGTTGGAATGCTTGCCGTGCAAACATAATATTTGTTCCACGTGCATGGAAGAATACAAACAATTACCTGTTCCCGGTTTGTCTGTCCATTAATTCTACCTTTAGTAATCAATAATATTTTATGTGCTGATATGATCTGTCAACGATTTCCAAACTTCATCCACATTCTACCTTTTTGCACGAAAGGTAAATCGGTGTTTCAGTTTGCCCAGCGGAAGAATGTTCAGGAAAAACATTCGAGGCGGATGAGCCCAACTTGTGCGACGGTGTATGTAAGAAACACCTGGAAGAAGGCAAATACACAACGACAAATTGCTGTCAAGCGAGAATATGTTTCACTTGTTTCGAGACTATATTCGGTCGTAAACATCTTTCAGGTATGACTTTGATATTGTCTAAGTAGTTTGTTCTGAAGTACGTAAGCAGTATTTCAATCTGTCGAAAGCATACAATATTTCGCAACAAATTTATTAATTCATTTCTTCTATTAATTTCATTTATTAATTCATTTCCAGCTTTTTAAGTTTCTACCATGTACAGTCTTACTATTATAGGAAAGAGGTACATACTTTAAATTTGAAATCCATTTTCCTTATTAGAAAACACTTTTTGAAATAAATCTGATTGTATTTTTTAGGTACTGAAGAAAGATGTCCTTCTACCGAATGCCTTAGAAATCCTGACGTTAGTGGAACTGAATTAGTACATCTGCTCTTTTTTTATTAAATATTTATATTATGATGCTTCATTCTTGAAACTGAGAGAGTGCCTCTGTTTCAATAAGATAAAATTGTCAGAATCACTGGCAGTTTAATAAACCGATTATTGTATAAAAAATTCGGGAAACTACTAGTCTCTTTCTTCAAAAGTACGTGTAAGTGAAGCTTTAAAAGTAAATGCACCTATCAGATAGCGCGATGCCAAGCTGGATTAAAATGTAAAAACTTGACAATTAGTGGATTCCCATCAAAAGATGAATGCGAACACGCTATATGCATACAATGCCTTGAGAAAATGATCGATGACTGTGAATCTGTTGGTTAGTCGTACCGTATTTTTAACATAGAAAGTGAACCTTCGACACTACAAGTATTACATGCATTTGCATGCAGTAAAAGTTTATGGAATTTGGCACTTCACAAATATCGTTTTTACAACGACTAGAATTAAGGTTCCCTACCACGTTGTCCCAACGAATCATGCAATGCATTGTATAGTACGGAATCCGTAATAGCCATACGTGCTATGTTACCCGGAAAATCTGCATTCTTCAACAAACTTTCACTGGATAACAACTACTATTATATGATCAAGGATGAAGCAATTACTGTTAGTAATAATACAGTATTATTCCGTTAAATGTCATAGCATCCAGTATGTAACATATTCATAATTATAGTAATACATAATAAGTGTGCTGAAATTATCATTCAGGTTATTACCACAGAAAGTGTTCTGGAAGATTCCTGCAATTTACAGGGATATACTTCTTAACAGTATGTATTTCTTCTTTCAGCCAATAAAATTTTCGACAAATTTTAAATCAATGCAACGATATTTTGAAATTGATGTCAAACTAAGTGATGGTAGTGAAAGTAAGAAACTTTCATTCGATCGAATAGGAACAATTGCCGATTTGGTGCGGGAAATAAGAAGAGAACTAAACATTGCTCCTGAAGAGAAGGTTGAATTCACTCTTTTTTTCTATTTAAGTTAAAAGAAGTTCTGTTGCTTGTCGTACCAAACAATACCGGTCGCAATAAGGCAGTTTCCCTTTCTGATCTTCTTTAGTGTTCCGATCGAACTCAGTAGCTCTTTCTTCATTGACAAAAGCCGACGAAATCTTCTGCAATGCCTTGTCTTATATCTCAGACCTGCAAAAACTCTGCATCTGGAGTGATACACTGGAAATAGCCTAAAGGACATAATCCTTCTGACTGGATCCCCTCCTCCTTCTGATTGGACCCTAAATTCTTTACCCAAGACTTATCATTCGTTCTGATCTGTGGTTTAACCTGACACGTTGACCCTAAAGAAAGCAGCGATATTTTGTTCTATCATTATATATATATATATCTTCTCCGAGAATTGAAGATCACAATCAGCTCGTATTCTTTTCAACTTGCATAATATTTTTAACATGGCTTATCTTCGAGACTGATTTGCATCGGATACCTGGATACTTTAAATGTCAATGCTATACCTTAACTTCTCCAAATTTCTTCTTTTCATTTGTTCATCTCCTGACTCTTCCGTTTCGTACCCAACAGAATTTTACTTAATCTACCAACAAAATCATGGCAGCTATTATTATCGAATTATTCTGTACTTCATATAATTTTGTTATCTAAAGACTTTTGAAATGAAAATAACTCAAAAATTTTGCAGGTTTACGGATATTACCTAACACGATCATTAAATGCCGAAGGTAAACTAGATGAGGACGGTTATTCAGACAAACCAGCAGAGAAACTAGAATTTAGCGCAGAATCGATCAGTGAAACCGTGGAAAAACTAAACCTTTCTACGGCGATTACAATTGTAGCTGATATAGCTGGAATCGTGCAAGTTAAAAATGATAAGGCATTAAGTGATAAAGCAATATGAAATTTGCGGCGGCTCATTTAATCGAACCGTGCATAAAAATAATCTCACTGCTATCACAGATCTACAGATATTATTTGACACTTTATTCCTACTGTATTGCTGGTATATTCACGTTTTTAGTATATAAATTCTTTACTAACTTTTAATTTCTTATTTAATTTGTCAAAGTCCAAATGGTGAATAAATTTTTCACATCACGATTAAATTCAAATTTTTAGTATTTCACTGTTTCACTACTGGTTAAGTGAAATACTTTTGGAATCAGGAAAAGTGATGCTCAGATTTATTCAATACTTTTGGAATCAGGAAAAGTGATGCTCAGATTTATTCAATCTGTCGATATGATTTAAAAATCTTATTCGGAACTGATATCAAAAACAAATTTAAGAAAGAATATTGGATTTGTAAATTTCCAATTATTGTAATACCAACTTCGTGAAGATAAGTAATATTGAATGCGTCTTTTTTTTTGATCTCATATTATTTCTACAAACTAAACATGTTTTCACCTGTCACATATGCCTTCTTTTATGGTCTAATCATTCCAGAGTGTTTAACCACACAGTTGAGTTTCCTCCTTCTCAACTGTATTTTTAAGAGGACTTATGATTTGCCCAAATTTAATGGAATTATCATACAGTAATAAATCTATTAGCATTGGTTACTGAGATGTTGCTGAGCAGTTCGCTTGAGAATTATATCGTTTTTGATAAACCATCCATTATTGTCATAAAAAATGCATAAACAACCAGCAAGTGCAGCTCAGCAGTTTCATTTTCATTTATGTAAAATTAAGAAGACACTATTTCCGAGCTTTTCGTTGACAACAATAATGCATTAAAGTGAAATGTCAATTAAACAAATAAATGGGACAATTGTTACTATTAAAGTTGGTGATACCGCTGGATGGCTGTATGTCTCTTCGCTGCTATTTTGTTCTCTGCATTTTGCTGAAACTGTTAATGGTATGATCTGTTTCATTAGTTAATTATACATGATATCATAAAGATCATTGAATAGGAAAATTTTTGTAATATTTTGGGCTACAATTTTAGTCATATGGAATTTGTTGTCTGTATTCAATTTTTCTTTTTTTTTTTGATTAGCAATTTGTTGAAATGTTATAATAACATCGATGTGTTCCACATGGTTCATTTGTTTGCAACAGATAGATAAATCATATTTGAACTACGTGTGATACTTCATTGTTCATTAAAAAATGGATGGAGAAACTTAGTAAGGGATAAGTAACTGAAGATGAAAAACATTTTGTTATTTTTATAGATTCAAAGCTTACAAAAGAGAAATTTTCGATCAAATTCAAGATGGAAAGAGGAACACTGTATGCAGATTACATCAATTAAGAGAAATTTTGAAAGTAAAAGAGTGAGAAATCTGAAAATTTGTGAACTTTGATAGAACTCACTGAAACTGAACAGCCTTCTCACTGTCACTGTCAATAAGTCATGCAAGCGAGTAAGCAAGGAATTGTTGCGCCTGTTTCATTATTTCATTGTCATTATCCTTCTTGGGAATGACATCTCTTTTTTAACTTCGCTTTGGGATGAAGTAATGAAGTTCACCAAATGACGCTTTACAAGTATAACCAAAGTTTGCGGGCTTCAGTTGGATACCAGAATATCAACCAATGAATCTCAAACATTATGACTAGGGTGCTTTCATCATTTTTTGGATGATTCAATTCTTGACTCATTGTGTATAACTGATACTTAATTGTTGTAGACGATAACAGCTCAATGAATGAAACCGCTAATCCGATCTTGTATGGCATGAGGATCGAACGGAGACTGTATGTTTCTATAGATTTTGTATGCTGACTACAATATACTTAATAAAATCGATCTCTAAAATTTCCCGACACTCGGTGCTGAAATATAAACAATCGATTATCCATGCAGAGATGATGATTATTTCAATTTTGTGACTCGATTGGCTCAAAATCAAGCGAAACAACGAGTGACTGTTTTCGGTGAGCATCTATTAAACGTCAGTCGGTTTTGGTTTTCCGTCGATTTCACCTGTGCACCGGAAAAGATGATTCATTCAGCGTATTTAAATGTAGAAATTGAACGACGAATAGATGATCGCATGCTGCAGTGTACTGTGAATACCGTAAGCGTGTTTCTTCATAAACTTTTAAGATATAGTGAAGATAAATGCGACACCTCTTAAATGACATTTTTCTGTGTTAATCAGTTAATCAGTTAATGTTCGCAACTTTTCAGTTAGGTTCAGGTATAACCCGCCCAATGCAATTATGCGTTGAGCCACCGCAGCTAATGCCTGAACCTATCGTTGAAAATACAGAATTTACACAGATTATTTTGGAAGAACCGGTAACTCATTTGTTTCCTGTTTACATCCAAATAATGTTAATTGGTATGTGTGCCACGTTAAGTGCCATATTCTCGGGCCTTACTACTGGTTTGATGGCACTAAGTACCGATGATCTTAAGGTAAACAAAGTAACCATATCGCAAAAAACATATCTGAAACTGACCATTAGCAGAATGACTGACTCATAGTTGCATCACTAAGCTTATTCTGCATTCGATTCATCTCTTATGCAAAACAAAAAATTCATTTATTATTTACACCCTAAATCTACTCATTTACAATTTCCACTTCTGCTTCTTTTTCAGTTAATAGCGGAAGGTAGTGAAGATAAAAAAGAACGTGAATATGCTTCTAATATTTTGCCATTACGTGCTCACGGCAATTTCTTACTTTGTTCAATTGTACTGGGTAATACTACTTGCAACATATTGGTCACATTGCTTATTAGCGATATATCTGAATCAGTCAGTAAATATTTCGTTTATGTAGACAAATCTATGAATTATGTGTATTCATATTCCTATTGTATTCCTACTATTCGTGTTCCTACCATAGCCACGTCAACTTTATCACATAAATAAACGGAGTTTCCAGATTGCACTATCGTTGGTAATACCCATAGCTATAATCACTCTTCTTGGAGATATTGTTCCGCAAGCTGTATGTGCACGGTATTTTCCTTCTACTATTCATTTTGCATCAACCTTTTTTTGATCAACTCGTTAGAGTTAAAATTTAGCTTTTCATAAAATCCTCGCGCATTAATTTTAGCGTATGACATATGACTTTGAATTTTATCAGTTTTATCAAAATTTTATCGTTTTGAATTTTATCAAAATTATAACTTCCAACTGACAATTTCATTCAATAACACCGTACTTTAGCCATGCTTTGTTTATTGGTAGCCGAACACGCTACCTGACAATATTTTTCATGGTACTTTCTGCACCTATTTCATACCCCTTTTCACTTGCTCTCGATTGGTTGCTTGGTAGAGAGGGTCGAGACGTGTATGATCGAAAAACCCTTCGTGTATTGATTACTATGCAAAGAGATTTAACCAAAGGTAATTTTTCGACAAGACCGCCTGAAATAAGAAGCTTTTGAAATTATCAAAATTCATGACATTATTTGCATTCTCCCTTTATTGCTGTTTCAAGAAAAATTAAGCAATCAGATGGATGGTGAAACAACGGATTTGGTGCTAGCAGCTTTCGACTTACCAGAAAAGATAGTCAAATCAATAATGACTCCTATCGATAAGATCTTCATGCTATCTGATCAAAGTGTTATCGATAAAACGCTTTTGAAAGCTATCTCCGCCAAAGGTCGCACTAGAATTCCAATCTACAGTGGCAATGATCGCAATACGGTTCAGATCCATCTTCTGAAAACAACTTGAATTCTTTCTTTTTTCTTTTAAAGGAAGGAATTATTGAAAGACCACTATAATTTTTCTTGAAGTCCGACCCAAGTTCGGCCATTATAATTTTTCGTTTTTTTTTTTTAAATTTAATGAGATGGAAAATGAGTTAGAGCTAAATTTTTTGCTTCATAATATTTTCCATATCAAAGTGCTGTCAACCTTAGATATGATAAAGGCTGTTATTGATATGTTTTAGATTATGGCCATATTAAATATGAAAGATTTGCTGCCATTTTGCAAAACAAGTTTCTTAAAAGTTGGTACAGTCGTGCAACTGTGGAAGCGTAGCAATCAATTCCGCTTCATTATTGATAGCATGCCAGTTTTGCAATTACTCATCGAAATGAGGACTGGGATACATATCGCCATGGTGGTTACTTACGATGAGCAAAAACGAGACTATATTGTTCAGGGACTTGTCACTCTTGAAGATCTCGTCGAAGAGGTTACTATTTGCAGATTTGACAATGTTCGGTAATTTATGTAAATATTGCAAATTATTAATTAATAATTGAGCTAATGCAAGTGATGTGGATCAGGTCTACAAATAGACTATAACAAAGCCTACTTTTGCTACACCGATGGATTCGTCATCGATCGATATATACAACAAAATCACGATCTTTCAATGATTGCTAGCATAGTATTTCGAACTCTGTCCCCATGACTTCTCATAGTTGTGAACTTTACCGCCATGCTCTCATAATTGTTGTAATCCACTGAGCAAAGTGTTTGGGGAGCCATGAATCAGTTATGGAAGACAAAAAGTGAACGGAAGGTTTAAGCAGATGAAATCATGCGTTGCATGCAAATAATCGTAGTTTATATGAAGATTGATCTTTAGGTCAACGTCCCGTCGGAATGTTTCAAAACATAAAATATGCGGGGATAAGGCTTTTAGAATAAAAAATATCAAACGAAGAAATTAAAATAGTAATT